GCACGCCTGTAATCCCAGCACTCGGCAGGCTGAGACATGAGGATTGTGGTGAGTTCGAGGCCAGCCTTGGCTACATAGCAAGACTGTCTCAAAACAAAACAAAACAAAACACTTCATACTCATGGCCCATGCAGAAGATAGGCTGGAAACATGTATCTATTTTTTTCTCCCAGAACTAGGGAACCCAGGGATGCATTACCACTGAGTTACACCTCTATCCCCTTTCTCTTTTTGAGGTAAGACTGCCCAGACTGGCCTCCAACTTGTGATTCTCTTGCTTCAGCTGGTGTTGCTGGCATGCTCATCATGCCAGGGAGAAAAATATACAAGGGGTTATTCAATGATACTGTGAAAAAGAAAAAAAAATTTTTTTTTGAGACAGTGTCTCAGTGTATAGTTCAGGCTGCCCCTGAACTCACTATGTAGCCCACGCTGGTCTCGAACTTGTGGCAATCCTCCTGCCTCAGCCTCCTGGGTGCTGGGATTACAGACGGGCACCACCACACCCGGGGTGAACGTTTAAATTAAAATTTTAAGAAAAACTTACTACAGTAAAAGAAACACTGCCAAGGAGGATGTGATAAATGTGTTCGAAGCAAGGGAAAATATTTTCAGAGAGATTAATGGCAATTTTTTTTTTTTTTTTTTTTTTTTTTTTGGTATTGGGATTCAAACTCAGGACCTTGCTCTTACCAGGAAGATACTTGTGCCACTGAGCTATATCCCTGGCCTGGCAATGTATTTTTTACTGTAATGAATGTTTAAAAATTTTTCAACATTTGACCATATTTTTTGATTACACCGCATATGGTAAGGAATGGTGAGCTATGTATTTCTGATCACTTTCTTGTTTTTCTGTGGGCAAAAGACTTAAACTCTTCTATAAATTTGAGACAATAATTCTTACTAGGGTCTGCACAATGTCTAGCATAGGGTTAGCAAGCGATAGTTACTCAACCTATATTTACAGTTTCAGGTGTGTCAACAGGTACACAAAGGTTCCTGCCCTAGTGCAGCTTCTATCTTGTGACGTGACTAGCTCCTGCTGCCCTAAAGCATAGTTATTTTCCCTCCCAAGTTCTCATTTTTCTCATTTGTAAATGAGAAAGTGGTAGTAGATAGGGGGAGAGGTGGATGGGAAAATATCTGGGAAGCACAAAAGCACTGCTAGTTATTGTGTTAATCAGCATAAGTAAATCAATAAACTTCTTCTTCCTTAACTCTCCACCGTTCACCAATACTTCTTTGCAGTTCTCTCAAATCTTTTCCAAGGGCTCCAAGCCAAAATGGGAGAAAGCTGGACTCCATTTCCCAGCGGGCCTCGCGGGGAAACGTCCTGCGTCTGCGCCAGCAAGTACTCCTTTTGCCTCCTGGGAATTAGAGTCGTTCTTTCCCTCAACCCACCTACTGGCTTCCTACCCCACCTCCAAACTGCCGTGTTGCCTTCCGGGAGATGTAGTCCTTAATCACCCGGACTCCAATTCCCAGCGGGCTTTGGGGCTAGAACCCGGAAGGGGAGGCTATAGCAGAGCGAGTGGGGGGCAACCCGCGTAGCCCAGGGAGCTGCGGCGAGCGGAGATGGTGAGAGCCTCAGGCGGGGTCCGGGGGCGCTGGAGAGTGTGGGCGGGGGTTCGAGACGCGGGGAGTTGGGGGAGGAACAAGCTGAGGCTAAAGAAAGGGCTGGGCGCTAGGAGATCGCCTGGGGGAGGGGACTGGGAGGAATGGGAGCCCGAGGGAGTAGAAGAATGGGGGGGGGTTTGGGTTGGGGAGGGGTCTTGGAGGTGGGGAGGCAGTCGAGCTTTGGGATAGATTGTAAGGGACCTCATAGCTGGAGAGGAAGGCTCCAAGTTGGCGACGGTGCTGGACGTCCAGGCAGAGACCCTGAAGGGAGCAGTTTTGAGGAGGGTTGTCCCGGGGGCTGTGGAAAGGCTTGGCGGTGAGGGTTGTGTGAGTCTGGAGGCTCTAGGGAGAGGCCAACCGTGGATGCTAGGGTTTGGGTTCCCTGGAGTGAATCCTGGGCAGGAAGGAAAGATGAGGCAGTGGGCGGCAGAAATCAATGAGAGTGGAGGCTAGGCTCCAGGACGGAGGGTGGGCTGGGGAGTGTGAGTTAGGGACTGGACATAAAGATGCTTGCCTCATCCAGGCAAAGACTCCCCATAAACTGGACGGTTAGGGAACTCTTTAGATAATATGGCCAGAAGGGACTATAGAGGCCACCGCTGGCACGCTCACATTCTCTGGGATTTAGAAGTGTAATGGTTTATCCGTATGGACAGTTTAGCGCTCGGATCTCTTGTTCTGCCCCTCTTTTGTGACCTAGGCGAGCCTCAGTGTCCTTATCTGTACTAAAACAACAAGCAGGCCACTGACAGGGCCAAAGGGAAGCTTCTTACTGTTGGTGGGAGACTAAGTCTTAAGTCTCAGTGCAGTTGGTGGGAAGAAGTTCCTCGTGCCAGGAATTTGCCTGAGTTACAGCTGCTAATGGGTTCCCTCCTCTGCCATGTAGCCCCGGAGGCATTTTCCCCAAACCTGGCACTGTTGTGGGGCACACCCCAGCTCAGAAGCATGCAGGAGCTCCCCACAGTCTGATCCAGCTAATACTTAACTGTTTTAGGAATGCCTGGCTGTATTTTTAGCTGCTTGTTCATGTCAGCTCATTTGATTCTGACAACACTTCTAAGACATAGATGCTTCATCTTATAGAAAAGAAGCAGGCACAGAGAAGTTAAGCAACTTTTCCAATGTCAGCCAGCATTACATGGTAGACTCAGGATTCCAATTTAGGCATCCTGGCTCCAGATCTGTGGTTTCACTGCTATAATCTGGTCCTTGTCCTTATACTGCAGTAAACTGTGGCGAATAGGAACAGAGATCAGAGCAGCCTTCACTTAGAATTTTTAGTTCTGCCCTCTATTTGCAGTGACCTTGGACAAGTCTTTTGGCCACTCCTTACCACCACCCCCCACTCTCCTTTTTTGAGACAGGGTCTCACTATGTAGTTCAGGCTGGCCTTGAACTCACAGCAGTCCACCTGTCTCAGCTTCCTAGGTTCGGGGAATACCAGCCCTCCTCACCTGTTAAATGGGCTCAGTAATCCTAGGATGGTTAGAGTCCAGGGAGATAATACCTGGAAAGTCCTTAGAATAAGTACTCACTACACATGTGTTGTTTTTTAAAATATGAATGGAAAACAGGCCCGACACAGCAGGCAACAGAGAAGACTATCTTCTTTCTCTCTCAAGTTCCCCCATTTCCTGATCTAAGTTTCTACCCCTGTTCCTTGTCTCCCAAGTCCAAGAGTGACTCCTGGAGAGAGTGCTGTGAAACTCAGTCTGTTCCCGTTTCCATTCCTGTCCCCAGCCAAATGTAAATAATTCATCTGCCAATGCCTGCTCTAGCCCATTTCCAGATTTTTCAGTGAATGATAAATATTTCTAACAACTTGAGTTGTGTTTTGTTTTGTTTTTCCCCCTGTAACCTTTTGGTCACTGGGGCCTCATTGGACAGTTTGATAACTGTAACTCACCTTGATTGATTTGCCATGAACCTTCTTCGATTTATAAACTCAGAGGCTCTGATATTGAAGCTTATGGGTTTTAATTCTATTTATTTTTGGGTTTTTTGAGACAAGGTCTTGCTATATAGTTCAGTCTAACCTTGAACACATTGTGGAGCCCAGGCTGGCCTCAAGTTCAGGGCAATCTTCCTGTCTCAGCCTTCTGAGTGCTGGGATTAGAGGTGTAAGCCACCACACCGAGCTGAAGCTTATGGTTAAAAGCACTTGTGTCAGATAGACCTAAGTTCACATCCCTGCCTCTGTTGTTGTGTGTCCTTGGCCGAGCTGAATACCCATGCTGGGCCTCAGTTTTCTCATATGTAAAATGGGACCACATCCAAACCATGAGGTTAGGTCTCATAAGGAGATGATAAATGCATATAAAATGTTTCATGTGTGTTAAGCTCTTACTAAGTATGAGGTCCTTCTGTGATGTTTATTCTACCCCTAAATTGTTTTAATCCCAAGCTCTGGTGCTAGAGTGTATGGATTTGAATCCTGGCTCCATCTCTCACCAGCCATGTGACCTT